GTCAGATGAGATTATAGAAGAGACCCCAGAGAGCTTCCCCCCCGCCTCTCTCCCCGCCATGCTCCCACAAGAGGAGATCACGGGAGCACACAATGAGATGGTGGCCCCCTGCAAGCCAAGAGAAGAGGCCTCAGAATGAACCCACCCTGCCAGCCTCCAGAACTGTGAGAAGTAATGAAGTTCTGTTGTTTCAGCCCAGTGTGTGGTATTTTGTTATGGCAGACGGAGCAGACTAAGATGCCGCTAACGGGAATTGTTTAGGGGTCACAATCTAAAGTCATTTTTAAGCCAGGGATGATCAAACTGGACTAGAAAATGAAATATGGCTCTAAGTACTGAGACTAATTTTCTTGTGTGACACATTAAGTGTCTCTGAAACAAAAATTGAAAGAGGGGCATCAAAACTTGCATGATTGTTGAAATTACTGTTGAAGTTTTGAGAAAAATTTCATTTGGCTATTTGTGATATATTTGTTATAAAGAGGTCTCTATACAGCCACACCCACTCAAATAGTAATGACAATTACATAAATAAAGCAAAGGACAAGTTAAATTACTTCAGTTTTTGTATACTTACTGTTTTGATACATAGGTAATGTATTTTATACATTCCTTCAACAACTATTGGAGGCTGGCTGTCAGTCAAGAATATACAAGGTACAGTGGATACGAGTCTAAGAACAAATATTCTCTTTAAAGGAATACATGAGTACATAATCTTACAGTATTAGGAAGTCCAAAGGCTAAATGAAAATACACGTGTCTCAGAAGAAAAACATGTTTTAATGAAATGTTATGCAGTTAGAGTGGTTTTCAAAGAAATGACTGGAAATATTATAAAATATTTGTTTTATGGCCACACAATGCATGACTGAAAAAATAAAGATTTTACTTAGCTATTTATCAAATCCAGCAATTTATCATTTTAACAATTATATCCATCAATGTGATGAATAGTCCAAATTAGTTATCAAATCCTATTCTAAGTTAAGTTCTCCCAAAATGACACATTTTGAACTTCCAAAGTCCATGTATTTCTTAAATTGTCATTTTCTCCACAATAATCAAAATGTAAGACCTCAGAATTACCAGACTACATAAGAGAAAAACTTCAATTGCAACAAATATATTTCATGAACTTTTCTATTAAAACTCTTCAAGGGATGAAAAGGATCTTCTCGTTTAGTGAAGATGGCTTAGTATTTTCAGTTGGTGACTAATCTTTGTGTACATGTCGTCATGTTATAGTGGGTGGCACTCATGAACAGGCTACTGACTGTCGGTGGGTCCACCTAGAAGGATCTGTGACATAAATTTAAAATATTACACAATGTTAGATTCAGATTTGATTTAATATTGAATTCTCATGAATATGCTTACTGGTGTGGAAATGAAATAGAGAAACCTTATATTTTTTAAGTAACATTTGGAAATGTTGCTTAATGTTAAACATGACATTTTCAAATAATTAAACCCTTCCTGAAATCATGAGCAACAGTTTCAAAAAATTAGACTTTTTATCACTTTCATAACAGTTTAGCATTTGTATGCTACACCTCTTGGAGAAGGTACTAAGTGAAAGGGGGCAAGGAGAAGGGAGGGGTTCATATTATTGGCATTATTTCCATTGTTTCTCATCTAAAAATAGTTGCATATTAAAAACGACAGATTCTATAAACAGGTTATTTGTTGATGAAACTTTTGCAATTTAATCCTTCTTTCAAGTTAACATTTTAGTGGCCACCAACTCATTTTCTAATAGACCCCATTTTATTGTTGACAATATAAACTTTATAATATAAAAGATAGAAATTTTATATATTTTATACATTTCAAAGAATAATAAGCCATCTGTTTAATAATAACAAGAGAAATCATATTCACTCAGTTCTCTGAATCACTGGGACAAGCAATTTCTGATGCTGATCTGCATATTGGTCTTGATTATATTTTTAGTATTAGGCAAAGGAAGATATTTCATTGAGTTCTGCACATGATGGATTATTAAATTATGTATGATTAAAGTAGCTTTAAGATTTAAAATGATTAAACGTTGGACAATTGTTTATCTTTGTAAAAGTATATCCCTCAGTCCTCTGTAGAGCAGAATTAAAGGCTAAATGAAACTATTACTGAAAATATTTGGCTGACTTTATTAGATACTTACATCTATATAACAAATCCCATTGTTTCCTTGACAATGGTTTTCTCCCAAAGTAATGATGAACTTTAATTTTACACCCACACATCAGGATGAACACCTAAAAGTCTGTTTCCTACTGGTTCCACTTCCACCTCGCTCAAGTCATGAATCCTGACACAATAAAAGAAAGAATTCAGCCCTAGCTGGTTGGGCTCAGTGGATAGAGCATTGGCTTGCGGACTGAGGGGTCCCAAGTTCGATGCTGGTCAAGGGCACATGCCCAGGTTGTGGGCTTGATCCCCAGTGGGAGGCATGCAGGAGGCAGCCAGTCAATGATTCTCTCTCATCATTGATGTTTCTGTCTATCTCTCTCTCTCCCTTCCTCTCTGAAATCAATTAAAAAAAAAAAAGAAATAATTCATTTGCACCAGGCAAAGAAAGTCTTTGAAAATAAAGCAGTCAGATTCCAAAAAGAGAATAAAGAGGGTTTTTGATGTTTGCAGCCAGATTTGCCTGGTGGCTCCACTACAAGTATTTATAATTTCTCCTATTATGGCCAATAATAGGAGAATGAGAGCAAGTGAAGAGAAATATGGATAAATGGTTAGTTTCAGGGCAGCCATTAATACTTTAAATTGTAAAAAATGGTCTTTTATATCATTTATATGTAAACTAGAGGCCCCCCTCAATCGGGGCCAATCAGGCCAGGCTGGCCAAGGGGATGGGCTGCGGGCGGTTGGTGGGCCCTGCCCCTGGTCGAACTCCTGGTTGAACTCCCCGTGGAGGGGACAATTTGCAAATTAGCCTTTTATTACATAGGATGATATGCAGCATCATGATAAGGCTGACTTGGGTAAAATCCCAATGAAGGCCCATTTTGAAGACAGATTTTTAAACCCACTCCCTGGTCCAAACAGCAAGGGCTCTCATGCCGACCCACTGTAAAAAAATCAGTAAGTTCCACTTTTTAAAAATCGGCTTCATACATTAGGATTGTGCTTAAGGTTCCTTTCTCAAACCGCTGACCTACCAGAAGGTAAGTCCTTTACCTGATCTATTGTTAGTGCCTTGGGTGAAACCATCCTCATCCTCATCACAGCTGTCGCAGTTTAGTTGTGGGAGGGCTGCTTCTGCCTGGCTCTCAGCTTGACTGACGTCTTTCTGCTTCTCGAAGCTTCGAAGAGCAACAAGACGGTGATGTATGGCTGCATACAGCGATTCTGTGTCTTTGGCACTGGCCTGCATGGGGAAAATTCTGGGGTTAAGAATAGAAATAATAATAGCCACATTTTAAGGATTTTTAATCTTTCACTGTTAACAAGGAAGGAACTACATGGCATAAATCTAGAATGTAAACAACCCTAACCACTAAAGGGTAAAAAGTCCATTTATCTTTTTTTTTTTTAAATATATTTTATTGATTTTTTTACAGAGAGGAATGAAGAGGGATAGAGAGTTAGAAACATTGATGAGAGAGAAATATCAATCAGCTGCCTCCTGCACACTCCCCACTGGGGATATGCTCGCAACCAAGGTACATGCCCTTGACTGGAATCGAACCTGGGACCCTTGAGTCCGCAGGCCGATGCTCTATCCACTGAGCCAAACCAGTTAGGGCAAGTCCATTTATCTTGAACCAAACTGAATCCTAAGGCAGATAGTTTTGTAAGAGGTCCCAATTTGTGCATTTTAAATGGAGAAAATGAAATTTTGTGATTGGAAATTTCTTTTTGAATTCAACTTTGTAACAACCATCCTTCCTCCATGATTTTACCCTGTAGAAAACTGTAGAATGGGGGGGGGGGCAACTCCATTTCCTTTACATCACTTTGCGTGGACATGCCCTGCAAGCTTACTAAAGACAGTACTTGTTTTCGGGACTTTTTCCCCATCAGAAGTACTTGTTTTCAGTACCTTTCTGTGCTATTTTTATGGTTGCTACAAATATCAAAAGGAAGGTAACAATACCATTTGTATAACAGTTATTGTTATTCTATTGTTACCCATTTTTTACAATAAAACTGTGGTTATTAATCCATTAATAGGTGAGGAGAGGACGGCTCAGAAAGGTGCATGACTTATCTGACTTTACACAGCTAGTTGGCAAATTGCCTGGCCCTTGAATCCCAGGTTTTTGTCACCTAACTCAGTGTTCTTTAAGGTAACATGGCAGTAGTTTGTAGGTCTGTATCTTTTCACAATTTCAAAGGAAATCTGGGACATTTTTTCTCTTTGCTAACCTTCCAGAGAGTTGCCAAACGTTTTAAAACTGAGAACAGAGGGTTGAACCAACTATATGCCAACTCTTGGGAGAAGGGTTTTAAAGTTGGGGTTTTTTTTATATGCATGTATTTAAGTTGCCTTAGATACTTGTGGGTGGAAAAATTTAAATATAAATGCAATAAAATATTTTTGTTTCTCATATTGTATTTGATATTACAGAGTAGTTGTTGAATAAATACTTGTTGACTTAACTAATTTGATTTTTTATATTGTGTGCAAAGGTGTAATTTTCTTTAGTAAGCTAATTACTAACAAATATTGAGAGTATTTGTAATTGAAATATAAATGCTATTCTGCTTCCTTGACTTTCTTACATTAAATTTGTAATGCCTCTCACTAGCCAATATATCTATTTCCTTTGGACAAATTCATTCAGATGTTTTCATTTAAGAAATTCTGAAGTTAAAATAACATGATATATTTTTGAATAACAAATTTGCAATGCTTAAAAAAATGTAACTCTGAGGAAATACTATAAAAAAATGCTGGTGAGAATGAAAACTGGTTCAGTCTTTCTGGAGAGAAATTTGTCAAGACAATTAACATGTATGTACACAGAGAGTTTCCTGCAGCCTCCTTAAAGAATCAACACTAATAAAAGAGAAAAATGGTAATTGGCGTACAACCGCTACCCTTTTCATTGGCTAATCAGGGAGATATGCAAATTAACTGCCAACTAAGATGGCAGTTAACTGCCAACAAAGATGGCGGTTAATTTGCATATGTAGGCACAATGCAGGGAGGCAAAAGGGAAAGCAGAAAGAAGCCCCCTGCCACTGACAATGCCTCCCAGCCATGATCAGAGAATCAGGCGCCTTTGCTGCCCTGGCCAGTGATAGCAGGAAGTAGGGGTGGAGCCAGCGATGGGAGCTGGGCACGGTCGAAGCTGGCAGTCCTGGGAGCTAGGGGTCCCTTGCCTGGGCCTAAAGCGGAGCCCACAATCACGGGGCCGCTGCAGCTGTGGGACCCCACTGCCCGGGCCAGATGCCTCGGCCAGAGGCGATAGGCCTGGGCAGGGGCAGAGCGGGAGATCGCGGGGAGCTGGGAGTCCCCTGACCAGGCCTAATGCCTTGGCCAGAGGCATCAGGCCTGGGTGGGGGGCGCG